GAGCAAACTTCAGAGGACGGCGAAAGACAGGAGGGCCTGCCGTGATCTGGTCCATGGGGTCGCGAAGAGTCGGACTCGACTGTGCGACTGAACAACAACAAGAGGTGATGGGAAAGACCTCAGCCTAAGATTCTGGAGACCTTACCCTAAGACTCTGGAGAGCCACTGCCAGTCAGAGTAGACAATACTGACCTTGACAGACCAAGGGTCTCATTCAGTATAAGGCGGCTTCAGGTGTTCAGTTGTGCTCAGCTCCCTCCAGCATAGCTGCCAACTGGGAGGAAGGGGAGGTGGGAACAGTGGAAGGGCCCAAGGGCATCCAGGGCTCAAGAGCTCCCAAGAGCTTCCGCCTTGCTTGGAAAAGGACTGAGGGACTGACGTTTTTAAAAGCCCCATAGCAAAGGGTTAACTGCTGAGACAGTTGATGGCTGGAATATTATTTATCCTACTATGTAATTTCTGCATTGTTTAACATGCCATGTCAAGACTTATACTTTATTTCAGATTTGGTTGAGATTTTTACTTGGCTTTAATTTCCACAATCTTAATTCTTATTACATTGCTTACTGGATCTCGCATCCTATTGACTGCATTGATTTACACTGTGTAATCCACCTTAAGTCTCTGCAAATAGGTACAATCTAAGTGAGGAGCAGATTTAGACTGGATAACAGGAACATCTCTCCCAACTGAAAGAACAGTACAGACAATGGATCAAATTGCCCAAGGGGGCCTGTGGGATTTCCGTCCCTGAAGAATTTTTAATGGAACATGGAACAGTCTTTTTCAGGCATACTTTAGGCCTAAGAAAAGTCTACAATAGCAGGATGTTGTAATACAAGACCCACAAGGTCCTTTCCAACTCTGAGCTACCATTATCCTAAATATGGGATACGTCCATTTCATTGAGACCTAGTGTGGTGTAAAAGACTGAGCTGTGAATCAAGATAGTCCTGCTTTACATCACATTTTAGCCTTAAATTCCTCAGGTAGCATTATTGTTTCAGCTGCAGCCCCCTACCCCATCCCTTCATCTGTAAGATGGGGACAATAAAGCGGTACCAAAGGTGACTAAAGCGTGCAAAATGAGAACTGAGAGAATGTGAAATATTCTTATTAATACTGAGAATCTGCGACAGGGACTTTGTGATTTGGGCTGTTAAGTGTTTCTGTCATCCCTTCAGTGATCCTGGCCATTAAACTTTTCCTGTCATCCTCCTCATTTCATAGCCATTATTTCTTTTTAAAGAAACACTAATTTGCCAAACCAGGCACTTGCACGCATCAGAATGAATGGCGGGCAGGGGCCTTCAGCGGAGTTAACCTACTCTGCAAGGCCAGCAAAGTGCCCCACAATGCCAATAAGCAATAAGAAGCGAGCGGCTTTGGGGAGCGTGAGAGGCACTCCTCTAATTTCCAGCCTTCATCAGATAAGACACTGAAACCCAAATAGATTAGATACTGTGCTAAGACTTGGGTAATTAACACCACCAAGGCCTGCAATCCATGGGTAAATAGAACATATCAAATAGAATTACCCGCCAATCCCTCTTAACGCACTTGGAGCCTGGCCCAACAGACATGTTAACATTAATATACACAGTCTTATTAAATGAAGGTCATAAAAGCTGTCAGAGAAGAGAGATGACAAACTACCAGCCCTCAGGAAGTAAAAGGAAGGGTGGCAGAGGATGGAAAAAAGATAGACTGCCATCCCATAATTTACTGATCAGGAACTGTGAGAAATCCTGACAGCTTCCACTGAAGGGACTGGGTTTAGGTTCAAGAATTAATCCTGAGCACACAATAAAGAAAGTAGCACGCAGAGTAAGCCGTATATAACCTCCTTCCTTGCTCTGCTGCGGTTACTTTCATCACTTGATCCTGAATTAAAGAAACATATTCATTCCAATGTGGTGCAAAGAATTTTAATACCTTGAAAAGGCAGAAAACGTCTGCAGAATCCACTTGCATCACACTTTAGAATGAGCCTGTCTTTATTTGCAAGAGTGGTTCACTAGCACTGACTACTGAAATCTCACAAGCCACCGATATACTAATCGATACTTGGCTGACAAGAATGATCCGGAGTTCCCTGGCTCATGTGTGCACTCCTCTTGCACATGTTGCCAAAATTACAAAATAAGAAGCCTTCAACAAACCACTATTTGTTTTGACATCTGAATTCGATTTGATTTTGGTTTAGAATCATGGTCTGGAAGCAAGAAACAAAACGCCCAATTCAGATGTCACAACAAACTGCTGTTTACAGAAGATTCCCTTGATTGCAATTGTGACAGCACAGGAAGAGAAGAGCCCACGAGCTCAAGTACTTTGGATCATTTTCATCACACAAACCTGGGGGTTTGTTGTGATGTCTGAATGTAGCCATCATCTATCTCCATTCCACAACCAGAGAGGAAACAAAATTGTTGCATGGAGAAGGAGGGGAAATATAGGCCTATTATGCATGCATCGCTTACTGCAATTTTTCTGAGCTGTAAGTCTTTAAGCTTGACTTTGGATTCTGTTACTACCTTATGCACCATTTTCCCCCCTTCAATGTATTCATTCTGCAACTACAATTTAAAAAGCATACTTTCTCTAAATTGAGATGGAATTTGTGTGTGTGTGTCCAAAGTTATTTTAAAATTTATGCATTGCAACAGCGCATTGCAACCAATGTTCCCTCTAAGCTGTGGAGTCTTGCGAGCAAAAATTCTACTTTGTGAGCTACTGGCATTAAATATGTGAGTGAGTGATTTTGCTGCTGCATAAATCAGTTTGCTCTGGAGCCATCTGTCCTGAGCTAAGACAAAGTGTGAGCCAGAGGCTAAAAAACTGTGAGCGAGCTCACACTAACTCAGCTTAGAGGGAACACTGATGCACAGTAGTGTCCAGCAAGCGCCTTCCATTTAAATCCTCGTGGTTCAGGTTTTGCACATGCATTTAGCATTAATTGGTTGAATGAAAGGGAACTAAAAGAAAGGCAGACAAACTGGGAAAACCCACTGTTGAAATTGACCAGACTTTTCCTGCAAGTGACAAGCAGCTGTGAAGCCCCATTTTCCATATTGCTGAGCACTAGAGGGATTCTCTGCTGTGTTATTAGCCACTGTGAAAAATGGGAAACAAGTTGAGTGTACAGAATGCATGGTAGAACCCACTGACACTGGCATTGCAAGGTGTGATGGCTGGCAACATGCATGTGCGTGCACCTGTGCAAAGCTGGCTTCAACTCCACCACGTTTTGCACACAGCTGCAATTTGTATGGGGGAGGAGTCCTCTGTCAGAAGCTCTGGAAAGCTGGCTGTCCCATAGCTTCCCAAACTTTTCTTCAAGGAAGGGAGTTGTCGGAGAAATGACTACAGTCCAGAAAGTGCTCCTCTGAGTTCTTCCAAGTTTCCTCCTTTCATTATACCATTACTTGCAGTTAGGATAAGGTGGTGCTGACTCTGGGATTTTGGCTGGGGGCAGGGGGCTTGGGCCTAGTATACTCACTTAACGCAGAAGATATTTTGTTAATTAATTTAAAGTATTTAGATCTTGACTCTCCACAATGCCTGATGGCTTCCTGAAGGTGCAGCTCTGCACTGCCCCCTCCTGCCTCCCAGTTTAAACTGGGTAGCAGGAGAGGGCAGCCCAGCCGGGCTCGCTGTGCCTGCGGTGAGCTGATGGCTCCTTGCACCCACAGCTCTGCACTGCCTTCTCCCACCGCCCAGTGGAAACCACGCAGCGAGAGACGGCAGCCCAGCCAGGAGGAGTCATTTAATTTTTTTTACAAGTGGCATGAGACTAGTGAAGGTCTCATATCACTAGACTCATGCTACTTGTAAAAAAAATGCAAATCAACGAGGGACACACTGATGAATGGCGGAAGGTGCAGAGTGGGCGCAACGACCTCGATGTGGGCAGCGAGTGACCTTTAAGTGGCAGCAAAAGGGCAGTGAGGAATCGAAGGGAATTGATACGCTTTTGAATTGTCTTTGGCTCAGGAGAGAAACAAGGGGAAAATCAGCACAACAGCACCCTCAGAAGACCTGGGAAACTGCGACCAGAAAGCAAACTGAGCACTGGGGGGGGGGGGGAATCGATGCAGAACTAAAAAGAAAACCTAACGGACATGCACGGTGAAAGCAAGGCAAAACACCCGTGCATAATAGCCCATAATAAGAGTTAGGAATAAAGCACTGAATACATTCTACCCATTACTCCATTGCATACCTATCTGGATCATCCCACAGGACTAGAGTCACTCCATTAACTGTTCCTTATATTTATGGTCATTCACAGATGATAGGAAAAGGGGAGACTTTTAACGTATCTTCTACATCTGAATAAAAGAACTCCAGAAAGTGAAACAGGCTGAGATACTAAAGTAGCTCCATTGAGAGAGACAGTCCTGAATGTTCAACACCAGCACGTGCCCCTTCTGAGACAAGCCAGCCTTCCCCATCACCCTTTCAACATTCCAGAACTTGGAGACTCCAACTGGTACAGAAAGCCACAGCTCAGCTGTTATCCGGAGCTAGATGGACACACATATGACTCCCATCCTGCAGGCACTTCAGTGGCTGCCCATCAGTTACCGTGCTCAATTTAAGGGATTAGCTCAATTTAAGGGATTAGCCCTTCATGGCCATGGCCTCTCCCCCTATGCTCCACCATGACAGCTTTGTTCATAAGGGGCAGGGTCTTCTGCAGGTGCCAACCTACAAATGGGCAAAATCAACAATGGTCTGTACACGTGCCTTCGCCGCTGTGGCCCCCACTTTATGGAACAGCCCGCCTGAGGAAGTGAGGAAGGCCTCAACACTCCTGGCTTTCCGCAAACGATGCAAAACTGAATTATTCAAGGGGGGTTTTCTATGCAGGCAATAGAGTTGCCTTGAGTCCAAGTCAGAAAGGTGGACTACAAAAAAATGTAAATAAATAAAAATAAAATTTCCCACTGAGCAGTGAGAATAAACTTTTATCTGCGCGACCAGCCCAAGCCTACCTTGATTATTTTGGGGTCCGTACAGCGGCTGTTGCCATTGCTAGCATGCATCCAGCTGATCTCAGAGGCAGGGCAGTGTTGGCGCAGGGAACACCGCTTTTCAGAAACACACCAGCCACACTCGAATCGCGGATCTGCCTTGAGGCACAGACCACAACTTTCGCGCAGCGCCGAGCATTTGTATAGGTGAGCTGCAACAGGAAAGCACAAATCCTTGCTTACAAAGGGAAGCTGTGCTGAGAACTGCTGAACAGATTCCCCTTGGACTGGTCATTTCTGAAAACGGAAACGTAGAGAATGACTTTCCCCATTCACTTACCTGATCAGCCCAGGAACTTGTTTCCACAACCCACTGAGTGATCAGCCTCATAACTAAATGGGGCCATCAGGGATTTTACCGTGCAGATTCCTAACATCTAGCTCTCAGTCGAGTCAGAATCTAAGACATATCAAGATTAGAAATTTCAGCTGCTTTGAAGTCTGCTGAAGAACTGACATGTCTTCAGTTCCTCTTATGGAAGCCACATTAGTAAAAACAACCTCATTTACATCATTCCACTCTACAGAGTCCATATGCCTTTTACCTCAAAAATGGCTGCTGGTCAGAAAGTGATGTTAATTAGCACAGCCATAGTACAGAGATAAAATTTCTGAGTAACAATATGTCATCTGTGGGGGAGGGATGATCTAACTTGGTGGGCAGAGGAAAATCTATGAAACCAATTCTTATACTCTCACCCCTCAGCCTGCTCCATATCTGCACCAGTAGGGGTTTCTTGGCTCCATTTCTGCTACCAGCTGCCACCAGTGTTCCCTCTAACCTGAGTTAGTGTGAGCTAGCTCACAATCTTGTAGCCTCCAGCTCACAGACTTTTGTCTTCGCTCAGGAAGGATGGCTCCAGAGCAAACTGATTTATGCAGTAGCCAAATCGCTGGCTCACAGCTTTAAAGCCAGTAACTCACGAAGCAGAATTTTTGCTCACAAGACTCCACAGCTTAGAGGGAACATTGGCTGCTACCAGTTCTCTGTGGAGAACCCTTGAAATATCTGAGGAGGTGCTGTTTGTCTCTCCATCCCATTCCCCCATACCCTCACTTACCCTGAATGTTCTGTGGATTATCAATGATGAAGTTCCCATTCCATACCACAGAAAGGTTCACTGGGAGGTCACTGATGTCATTCCCTTCATAGAAATACTGACAGAGAAGATACAACAGGGGCAAGAGTTCATTAGTCACCCTTATATAAAAAAGCACATAACAGGAACAAGAATCAACCCAGAGGGGAGCTTTACATTGTTGTGCCTCTTTTCAAAACGCACCCATCTAAATCCACTGCTGCCTGTGAGCACGGGCAAAAAGCAAGACAGACAGGTCAGACTCAAAACCCTCAAAATTCTCTTCCTCCAATAGCAACACAATTTTCCTTGCATTCCCAGTTTCATGCTGTATCCCATAATTCTGCTAGTTAAAATACCTTAAAAAAAAAAAGGTCTATGGTCCAATACCTTCCCCAAGGGCCTGGAGAGTTTTGAGAGATTGGGGTGGGTGGGGGCATCACTAGCGGCAGCAGAATAATTCTACTCAGATTACACACTTAATATTTTGATGTCACAGAATTTATATTACCTTGATGTAGAACTTGGATTTTTAAAGGACAACCAGAATATATACAACCCAAAACAAATTGAATTTCAAAGTCTCCAATGTTACAGCAGTTTTAGTGTACAACTCATGTGCAATGGTGTCAGCAAATACATAAAATAACAACTGATACTATTGGATTCTATTGAGCATTCATCAGCATAGAGTGATATTCAGAGGTTTGCTCCTCAGATGAGAGACGCAGGAGCATTTTGTGACAAATGGTGTAAAATGAACAACGGTGACACCTAAAACTAAGCAACAGTTGAAACCATCGCTTTTTGCTCTCCAGAGCTGGCAATATTGGATTCCGCCTTCACGGGAGTACAGGAAATAAAGCTCCCATATAGGAAATGAAAATGTAAGAGACCTAAGGCGGGCCAGGTCTCTGGGAGGGCTGGTAGTTGAGAGACACAAATTTGGAATTATATCTCCATCCGACAGCACATGCCCCTGCCCTTCCTCTCGAGTACTGAAAGATACACCCAATCTCTAGCCCAAGCCAAACTTCTGGCAGCCCCATCAATATTCCCTCCACAGTGCCTGCACGCGTGCGGAGGCTTAATCGATACGAAGACAGGAAGGCAGTCGGAACCTTCCCTGACAGCTAATGACCTCCTTCGGCGAGAGATTCTCCGCTTCTCTCTGGAGAAAATGACAGGCGTGTCAGGAGAGATTAAATGAAAGATTCATGGCTTGCTGGAGTTTGTTAGGGAGCCCTGGATGCTACAGAATCAGCTCTCTGCAGTTTGGAACTCCCCCCTCCCTCCAGGAACCCATGACTGTGAACTGTCTTGTGGCACAAGCATCACAGCAGCATGTGTCCATCCCCCTCTACTTCTCCCTATGACAAAGTCAAGTCTCCTGTTCCCCAACTAAACTCCCAGTTTCCGTTCCTTGGCTTTTTTTCAAAGGCTTTTCTGTGTTTAATTCAGTGATAACTGATATCTATAAAGCATTCATATAAAAACACAAAACTTGCACTTAATACAGACTGAAGGGTAACCCCCCTATAAAAAAACCCTCCCTAGCAAAAGTGAAAAGGGTGTTTCAAGTAGTATTATAAATACTGCATGGATTTAAAATCCCATAGTCTTTAAAGTCTAGTTATTGCAAAAGAACACCTTCATAAACCATAAACCATTTTTTTAAAGAACATCGTGAACATATGTTTACATCTGAAGGTTTGGTTCCAAACAGGGAAATGCAGGTATGACTGGCCCAAATCTCTCTCTCTCTGGTCTATCACTCACATACATCTTACTGCAGATTTTCGGAGCAGTAAGCCTTTAATCTTGATTTAGGATTCTGTGCCCACCTTACACACCATTCTTTTTCCTTTGGTTGTGTTTATTCTGCAGCTACAATTTAAAAATATACTTTCCTAAATTAAGGTGGAACATCACTTGTGACATGTGGGGGGTGGAATCCAAAGTTCTTTTAAAATTTACACAGTTTCCCTATTGGAGCTGCACAGTAGTGTCCAGCAAGTGCCTTCCATTTAAATCCTTGTGGTTCACGTTTCACACATGCATTTTAGCCTTAGTTCACTGCATGAAAGGGAACAGAAAGGAATGCAGGCAAAGGGGGAAAACCAATGTTGAAACTGACTAGATTTTTTTTGAAACTGAGAAACAGCTGCAAAGCCCCATTTTTCATATTGCCGAGCGCTAAGGCTCTGCTGTGTTGTCAGCTACTGTGAAGAATGGGAAAGAGTCCCATGATCTCATAACATGGGGGAACATGCTGAGTGTACAGAATGTATGGCACTGACACTGGCCTTGCAAGCTGAGATTGTTTGCTCTGTGTGTGTGTGTGTGTGTGTACGTGTGTGTGTGCACACCTGTGTAAAGTCAACTGTAACTCCACCATGCTTTGCACAGGGCTGCAATTTGTATGGGGGAGGAGTCCTCTGGCAGAAGCTCTGGAGAGCTTTTTTAGTCTTGTCCCACTAAATTGGGGGGGGGGAATTGGGGGTTATTTTTGCTGATGCCCAAGTGCAGCTGCATAGTAATGCTAATTTCCCGCTATTTCTTGCAAATTTGCATGGTTTTCTCTTTGTACTTCTCTAATTTGATCCTGCACACTGGTTGTGATCTTGGCCATTTTTTAGAGCCTGACCTGTGCAGATTGCACTCTGTCCTCCAAATACATTGATCCTAAGTGATTCTTCAGTGTGGGGGTTTGCAGAAGGTCCATGTGGCTCAGTCACCATTTTAATGTTAGGCTTCCGGAGACTGCCAAAATGGTTCCTCCCACCAAACTTTGTTCACTAAAGCATGAAAGGGAAAAATGTTTTCAGAGCTTTAGGTTTCCCATCCCAGTATCTGTCTCTCTTTACATCTCAGGTCAATTTCATTCTGCGTTGATTGAAAATATGACATAACATAATAAGAAGGTTCTCTTTCGAAATACAGGTTTGAGTATCATACTTAAGTTCAGCTGAGCCTTTTATTTCCTATAACACAGGTCAAGTTACACAACATTTACCCATATAACATAATCTTATATTTGGCTTCAGTAATCGTTTCCCAGTTAAATTTATCTATTGTTATTTTGTCTAAAATTGGGTTCCATTTATCTATTGGGTTATAGAATTCACATTCATTCTGATCATTATTAGCGTCGATAGAAAATTTTTCTAATAAAAAAAATTCCCAAACTTTGTGTAGCCATTGGTTTAGGGTAGGTGGGTGTTTGTCTTTCCAATTTTTTGCAATAGCTACTTTGGCTGCTGTGATTAAAATATTTATTAATTGTTTATGAATTGTAGGGGGGCTATCTGAAGGCCATAAATTGAGCAGCAACAGAGCTGGATCTAACGGTATGTCATATCCAGTAAGTGTCTTAATATGTAGTGTAATTTGTTTCCAGAATTGAAGAATTTTTTCACAGCTCCACCAATTGTGTATAAACGTGGCTTTTTTTCCACAAAGTTTCCAATAAAAAGGAGAAACCTGTGCATACGTGTGGGCCAGTTTAACTGAAGTTAAGTACCATCTAAAAAGTACTTTGACCGATGCTTCTTGAATAAGTAAGGATTTTGAAAGTGTTGTTTGTGTTTTCCAGATGTTTTTCCATTGGTCATCAGTGAACTTTCGCTGAAGATCTTTGTGCCATGCAAATTGATAGCTGTGGTGTTTATTGGTATAAGAGTCCAGAAGTTGTTTATAAACTTTTGAAATAAGGCCTTTTTTTATATAAGGTTTGAATAATAAAGTTTCAAAATCTGTAAGAGAGTTTTTAATAGTTTGTTTAAATGTAGTTGTTTTGATTAGGTGTTTAAGTTGTAAATATTCAAACCATTTAACCTGTGTTCTAAATTTTCTCTCCAGGTCTGTTTTTGAAAGTAAACTGCCTTTATGAAGCACATCTTTAATTCTTGTGATGTTCGTCCATCTCCAAGTAAGGTAAGTAAGGTTTTTTGCTGGTAAAAACCAGGATTGTCTCATTCTGTGTTGATGATCTCCCCCCCTATTTTGTTTGCATGCATCACTGAAATCCCTTTCCCCCCCTTGCACTGGGAACGCTGCCATTTGCCTCTTCTCTGATCCCCCTTTCAAGTCAATACCAGCAGGAAATAAAACCTCATGCAGCTCCTTATAAACTCCTCCCCCATTATTTTAATTCAGCAATCCAACACTAGCAATAGTCTCATATCGTTAGACTAATGCCGCTTTCCAAAAAAATTAAAAACAAGTGGAAAATAGAGTTTGTACACCGGTGAAGGGGGGAAAGATGGTGGAAGGTGCAGAGTGGGCGGAATGACCTTGATGTGGGCGGGGGGGGTGACCTTCGAGGGGCGGCAAAATGGTGGGGGGAAATCTGAGGGATTCTGTACACTTTTGAATTACCTTCAGCTTGGAAGGGGAACAAGGGGAAAATCAGCACAAAAACACTCTCAGAAAACCTGGGGAAACAGTGAACAGAAATCAAACTGAGTGCTGAAGGGAGGACAATCAATGCAGAACGACAAAGAAAACCCAACAGATATGGACAGTGAAAGTGAGGGGAAACACCCATGCAGAATAGGATTCCACTCTCTACAATATTCTCCCATGAGTAAAATGTAGCCACCTAAGGGTAGCAAAGATGACAGTCAGTGATGCCCAATTATTTTGCTAGAAGGAACAAGAAGGGTTGATTCAGTCAAATTTTCTTTTTGTATCCAATGACTACATACAAGTGAGCAGGACATCAGCTTTCACATTTGCTGCTGGATTTGATCAAAATTACGATTCTGTACAAATCGCCATAGTTACTCCTAGGCCTCCACTAAGCCTAGGTCAGTGTTTCACCAGGCTTTCACAGCTACTGGGCCTCTCCTGAGGAAGGTAATTTATGGGACCCAGGTCATTTTCGCTCCTGGAGGAAAAGCTGTATTACTGGGCAGCAACAACATACAGCTCAGCGACTGAGGCCAGTAACTGAAAAGTGCTGGGGGGGGGGGCTGTGTGCAAGTGGAGGGCTAGTATCTGGGACCGACACCTCCCATAATAATCTATAGTCACCTTCCCAGAGTTCCATCAGGTTCCAATAGCTAGGATTGCCAG